TTTTACTTCTAACTTAAATATAAAAATAAAAAAGTTGTTCTTTTTTTTTCTTGAAGTAATCATATTGTCAATCGTCGATCTAGTATAGGTCATATTAACTTCCGAAAAGCCATTTATCGAAGTCTCTCAATGGAACCAGAAACTCATGAGAGCAATAATACTCAAATACGCTATATAGAATATTTTATAAGATTCGTTTTTATTTGTGTTTTTATTGTATTCATCGGATCCTTGATTAGACTTATGTGGCCATTTCATCGTCATAAATAAAATAAAAAACAACAACAAATTACCATTCAATAAATCTATAATAAATTTTATGTACTAGTAGGATTTTACTTTACATTTTATTTAACATTTTCTTCTTATCATTTTTATTTGTATCATTTTTTCTGACAGAAATAAATTCATCTTCTTTTTTTTCTCAATGTCTATGTATGTGTATTTGTATTCATTCATGCATATCTATTTCCTTGTCTTATGTTGTCATACTTAATGTTTAATAAATAATAAAGATTGGCAAAACAATATATTGGTTTTACTTGTATATTGACATATAAGAAGAAGAATGAAGACAGAAAAAGAAGATTGCAATAGTAACAGTTAAGTGTTGATAGGAGTATAGACGAAAAAAAGGAAAAAAAAACTAAATGTATTTTGGATTTAATGATCATAATTGAATCGTAGACCTTTATCACTTATCAAGATAAAATTCTGACAAAAAATGGCATACTAAAGATAATCAGCGACACTTCCTACTACTGGCATACATGTCAATTAGACACCGATGATGATGATGATGACTTGTTAGATTATGTAATTGAATCTTTTTTTCCTTTCTTCTCTTCATATTTGGTGGTCACCGACGAGAGATCACATCTGTTGACAGCATACACAATGATTTTCGGTTTAATTAACACGAACAAACAATTAAGCTAGCTAGAAACGAGTATGGCAAGCTAAGCAATAAGTACTCTTAATGTTTATACCAGTCATTTGTATACGAAATCGACTGACATTAATATCAGTAAAGAGAGAACTGAAGTAAGATTAAAAAAAAACAATCTGACCATTTCCAGGCTCTAAAAGACACTTTTGTTTATTTGTATTTTTTTTTATTGTCTTTCTCGCCCTCTTAAAAAGAAGAGTACATCAATCTTAGACAACAGTAGATGTACTACACTTGTTTATGTCTTGGAAGATATTTTTATTCTCTATTACGACAATTATTCTGTTTTTATCATCGATATTCGATTCAACATTTGCTGTTCAATTATTGAACACATCATCGGGTATCTATGTAGGTCGAAGAGTTAATTATGGTAATGTTATTGTTCGACAATATCTTGGAATTGAATATGCTCGAATTAATAAAAGATTTGATCGAGCAACACCTATTGTACGAGAAAATGATCAAATTATTAAAGCAACTTCACTTGGACCTTTATGTAAACCAACAGCAGGTTCATGTTTAGGAAATTCAGGAGTATATCCTTTAGCACCTTATTGTTCAGTTAATTATGGTATTTTTTCTGTTAAATCAATTCCTGTTGAACAATGTCTTTTTTTAAATGTTTTTATTCCGGTGACTCCAAATAATGAAAGAAAAAAGGCTTTACTTATGTGGATTCATGGTGGTTCGGGTCAAATCGGCACAGGCAATATATTTGATGGAACTGTACTTGCTGCTGTAGGCGATATTATTGTCATAACATTTAATTTTCGTCTAAATCTTTTTGGTTTTCTATCATCAGGTGATGATCGTTTAGAAGGTAACCTTGGTTTATATGATCAAGCATTAGTACTTGATTGGATATATCAAAATGGTGATGCATTAGGTGGTGATATTCAACGTATTACAGTTGGTGGTCATTCAGCTGGTGCACCACATGCTTATTATTTGGCAATATCACCGTTAAATAATGGACGAATACGTCGATTATTATTACAAAGTGGTAGTCCATTTCATATATGGTCACATTTAAAAGCACAAAATGCAATGGAACAATTTAATACTGTTGCTAATGATAATGGATGTGGAAATATGACAACATTTGATGAAAAATTACAATGTTTAAAAGAACGCGATTTTGATTCAATTGCTGAACATGAACATCATTCATATACAAGTGCTAATCATACAAATGTCGTTATTAATGGAAATTTTATGAGCAAATTTCGAGAAGTATTTGAAGAAAATGATACATTAGCAAATGTTGATATACTTATGGGATCAACAGATGATGAAGGTAAATAATTTTAAATTGAATATTTTCAATTTCTTTATTTGTTTTTTTTTGAATATTAGGTATTTATGTTGCAATAGTACCTATTTTTATAGAACAACGTCATCAAGAACCTATAACGCTTCATAATGTAAATTTTACTGCAGTAACTTTGAAATTTCTTGCAGCAATGCAACCGGATAAAACTTGTTTACATCATAAAGCTTTAGAATTGTAAGTCTATTTAATAATAATTCTAACTTAAATATCTAACATTCTTTTTTATTTTTATTCACTAATAGATATCATATCAATAATATTCCAATAAATTGTTCTCAATCATATGATTGTTATTGTTCATTATTTTATAATTATTCTCGTCTTATAAGTGATATTTTATTTAATAATGATTATTATCGTTTTATAGAAGAACGTTTAAAATATTCAAATCGTACATATATATATCAATATACACATCGAACAGCACAAGAACATCCAACACAATGTAACGCTTATTTACATAAACATGATTTAGTTGGTCATTTTGCTGAACTTGAATATACATGGGGTACACCATTATTATATGAAATAAATAATTTTACTCATAATATAATACCATTAATAAAATATGTTCGATATTTATCAAATACAACAATTAATCATAATATAACACATTTGTATACTAATGAACAAATTCAATTTAGTAAACAAGTATTAGAACAATGGTCAAATTTTATTAGATATGGTCGACCAATTAGTTCTAGATTTAAAAATGAATGGCCACCGATTAGTAATATGTCTACAGCATCTATGATGCATTTAAAAGTTAATCAAAGTGAAATTAAAAAATTAACTATTCCATCAACTGTACAATTTTGGAGGAATGAATGTTCAGCAAAAACTGAAAATCATATTACAATTATTAAAAAGAATAATCAAGCATCGATTATTGAAAAGACTAGTCAAGCATCAATTTTTCACCTGTCATTGATAATATGTATTTTTTCTCTCTTATCTCAAAAGCTACTAAGTTTAATGAATTCATTAATGTGAACAAAAAAAAAAAAAAGAACACGTGTAAACAGTATCGAATCAGAATATAATTATTATTTCATGAAAACCAAAATAAAAACATAAATAAATAAATCAGTGTGTTATATTTTTTTTCCTGTTTGATCATTGAATATTTTTCAATGATTTATATTCATGTTTTTATTGATAAGAATATATAAGTTCTTATTGGAATTCAATACGATCAATCTTAAGTTTTTATTTGTATGTTTATCTATGGAAGAAAATATTGATGTTATACAATTTGAAATAATTTGCTTTTTTTTGTAGAATAAAATATAAATTTTTTTTACTGCGTTTTCCATCGAAGCTTAGCTTTCGAAAATTAGACATCTATTATGAAATAACAAACTATATTCATATTTCAATATAGAAAGTTTTCGAAGTGAAAACTTCAATTTAAGATCATAAATATTTGCCTTCTATTTGAATTATTATAATGTCATAAGGAATCATTTATAAAGAAAGTTCAGATAAAAGAGGACGCGGGGATCTATCAAGGAGAAAAGTGTCGGTTTGAAACCCCAGTACTTGCAGTACCTCCTGCACCTGCAGCATCTTTTTGACATCTTCAGTGTTACATAATAAACGAGCAAGGATTATTCTTCAATCGTTATATGTATATAACGACTTGGTGTTCTCTTTCCGCTACTCTTTATTCTTTGTTTTTTTTGTATATGTTCTTCTTCAATTTCGTCTTTTGTGTATACCATTGACTCATCTTCTTTCCTTTTAATTCAAGGACATATTTCATGTTCGTTTTCTCTTTTCTGTTAACTTAAGGACATTTTCTTTCGATATTGATCGTCTAAGAAAGAAGAAGAATACGGTTGTTTTTTCTTTCTCTCCTTTGATATAAATACTTTTTTTTCTTCTAAATAAACTATTAATTTGTTCGTTTTCACTTAGTCCAAAAAGTACATCCTTATCTAACTTTCACCACCTGGTGGTAGTACAATGGAGTACTGAGGTGTTGCACTTATCTCCTTGGTTTTGACCTAAAATTTTGCCTATACACATATTTGATACAATGAAAACGAGTATGTTTGTCTCGAGGTATTCAATATCGAAGAAAAGCAGCAATTTGACACAGTAATTGAATCGACTTCAAAATCGAATATTTCGAGAAAAACTCGTTTGTTTCCGTTGTAACTCTCAGAACTATCAAGCGTAACTATAGGCAAAATTTTCAGATCAAAATTCATTGTTTTTGACTTTCCAGGAAATGTCTTGTTCTCAAGAACAATATCATTAAAATGGCTATAACTTTTCATCAGTAAGCTATTGATCTGGAGTCGAATGGCGTTCGATAGTTGAATATGTTCCCTCGTAAATGATGGGAAACACTTTTTTTTCTTATCGAAAGTTTTAACTGCTAAAACTCACCGATATTCGCTGGATTGCTAGGAAATGTTTTGAAAAACTCATAGTCTTCTATTCTGATGATAGGATACTTATATCCATATCTACTGTTTTTATCCTTGATTAGAATCTTATTAATCTTCCTAACTTCTATTTAAACTATTTTTCAATAAGACTAATAAAATTTCTTTGGTAACCAGTCTTAACATGGTAATGTATTGTCCATTGACTAATTTTTATTATACTTTAGGCTGAAGTTCAAGTTCGAATATTTCTTATGTATCTTCAATATCGATAAGGACGACGCTTTTAGTCTATATAAAGGTTAGAAATGGCTATTTTCTAACCTGTATTTATATATTTTCTAGGTGCAGATGATTGATGTTCATAATTGGTTTCCGTTGAAATCGACATTATTTTAATAGTTTTAGCACATGCAATAGCTAATGTTGCCAGATCATTCCATGATATTCGATTTGGCTAAACACTACAGCGAAGTTTAAATAAAATAATCTTTAGATCGAACTAATCGTTGTGCAACAAATCATAAATATGAACATCTTTTAATTTTTAAAAATAAAATAACTTTTTTTAAAAATACTTTGTTATTAGTACATACAATTAATGTTTCTTTCCAACAAAGTGTTCGTATAAGGCTACCATTTAATTCTAATAATGTTGCTGTTTTATGTCGACCAAACGTATCTCTTTCATTTAAGATAAGCTATTAAAAATAAAGATTTTGATGACTTTTTAATTAATAAATCTACTAACTTACAGATATGTTATTAGTCACAAACATTTTCGTTCTAGAAAAATTTGGACCAAGACAAACAGCTCTCATAACACGAGAAAATGTTATTAATTGATCATCATTTTTTATTGAATAAATCAGCTGTTACAATCAGACGCTCCAAATATCAAGAGAGGTACTTCGTCCCACGTTAACTTATACGTTCGATCAAGTTGTAATAGTGGGCTGCATTGAATTTGTCGAATTAATTCTATTATAGTAGATAGAACAAACAGGTCATTAATATCATTAATAAAATAGAATGGTACAAATGTGGAATGTCGTGCAGTACCCTCTTGATGGTCACTGTACCATTGACAAAAATCGAAAACTGAGAAGATTTTGGGACGATTCTTTCGACGTTCTGCTTGAACCAATGATGTTAATTTGGTTGATGGTACTGATGAGCTTTGATGATCAAGCAGAAGTATTGAACGAATTTGAGATTCCGTTAAACCGATATGAACATATTTAGAAACAGATTGCCGTATTGGAGATGATAAACGAGATGTTTCAGTACAATATTTATGTTTGTGAGTATTTCTGAACACATTACTGCAATCGAATTTGGATCATCATCTGGTACAGTTGCCTTAATTTCATGATTGCTTAAAGGATATTTACGATATTGACAGCATTTAAATGAATATTTTGTCGAACTTTTAGGATTACTTATTCGATATTGACATACACCATTTGATTTAGCAACAACTTTAACATCATCAAATGAATGAACTATACTTAACAGAGATCAGTTTAATGTTGACATTTTTCAGAATGAATACTTTAAAGTGTTTTGTATAACATAAAGAAGAAGGGAAAAGCTGATGAAATGTAAGTGATACTGAATAAATAAGAAAAAGATGATGCAACATCACGTTTTGAAAAACTTGGTGATGTATAGCATCTTTTTTGGGTGATCATTTGTATATAAAAATATGTGATGATCAAAATTATCATTTTTTGATCATGATTTGTTTCTCAAATTGTTTGGTGATCAAAAATTCGTTTTTACTCATCTAAAATGTGAAGAGAATAAATAACAAGCATTCATTACAATTAATCTTTGCTCTTGATTTGTTGAATATTTATGGAATATGAAAAGAATTCCTTTTACAAAAATATTTTTCAAATGATCAAAGTTGAGAAGATTCTTGATCATTGAATGTGTCAAATAAGAAGAGAGATGATAGTAGACACTGCTTAATGAGCTTTGACTTGAAAAAAATTCATGATACTGATTGGAGGTCCAAAAGATATTAAAGATCGTCATCAAAAGCACACTACTATTAATATTAATATGTTCAAGAAGAAAAAAACAATCATGATAAAAATAGAAATGATTCAGAACAAGAAAAGAATCAAAGAATTTTTTGAGGAAGATTTTCTTTATCAAATAAAGTTCAAAATCAACTCTTTATAATAAACATTGATTTTATTTTGATCAATTAGATTTTCTTCATTGTTCAATGGGAGAAATGTTTATTAATAGATTGAATCAAAAATGACGATAACACGACGAAGAAAGAATATCTCTGATTACCATAAAATACTAGAACACGATCGATTTTATTTTTTTCATTGAAAGTTATTAGTTTAATAATCTTCTTCAATTCGTCATTTGTAGATTTTTGCATTTCATCAATCTTCATATTGATTTTTCCTTAAAGATCATTGATTTCCATGTTGATGTTTTGTGTGTTCTCTGAATGAGATTTGTAGAGTTCGTATACGGAGAGAAACGGCCCGTGCACGGTCATTTCCGAGCTTATACAGCCGTATTTCTCCGTATACGGTCGTTGACGACCGTACTTGTTCGATCGGGGTTTATATACATTTTCCTCTCGATATTATGGTTTGAACAAATGCTCTCGGTAATGTTATTTAATAATTAATCAATTCTATTAATCGATTCTATTTGACAATTTTTTTTATCAGCAGCAGTATTCAAATCAATTTGAATAGATTTTTCTAGAATTTCAATAGTTAATATTCGTTCAGATAATAAGGTCATACTGCGCAATATTGCTCGATGTCATCTTTTCTATGTGTCGTTTACATGATAAAATAACAGTCCCCCGGTTTTTAACATTGCATTGAAGACATGAAATCGACATTGAACTTGATTTTCTTGAGAAATATTCGAATTGCTGAGAAGTTTAATAATATCAGATTGGAGATTCATGGGCATAAGAAAACCTACAAATTCAGTGCCCGAAAGTGTCACAGGTGTTAAAGTTGAGATAATTTCATCAGTAATTTTTTCAAAATGATTTGATTGAATAGATTCAATCAATTGATGAAAATTAAATGGGAAGGTTGTTTTTGTTGAAAATAATCGATGACATTTTATTAATCGAAATAAATGACGAGCGGTAAAGAATGCTAAATAATCTTTCTAATTGTAATAATTTTTCAAGGATATTTTCCACTTTTAATACACTACTTTCAAAAATACAATATCGATAATTTATCACCATTAATTGTTTATCCTTACAAAATTGAGTATTATCATTAATAGTAGCTAGTGATTGATCGGGAAAGATTATATCGGTCGATTTGAAATCATCGGATAATATTTCATCAATAAGTTTTTCTTTTTCGGTATAGATAGGAATTTGACATTCACCAATAATAAATAAATCGTCTTTCAAGCTTGACAGAATATTCAAACGAAGTATTTGATTAAAATCAAATCGGAAGTAGAGATAAGCTTCGAGTTGCTCAAATCCTGTCGATAGATGTTGATCGATCATTAAAATTTTTTCTGTACCATTGACAACTAATTTTGTTTCATCAGTATTTGATGAAAAACGAGATGATTGATATTCTATCTTTGATAATATAATTGATTGGCATATACTGGCAGTTAAATGAGAAAAAACAATTTCTCTAGTTATTCGTTCGAATAAATAAGGATTTGAAGAGTAAGGCATCTTATTTTTCTCGATCTGAAATACATACGAAATAAAATCAGTTGAAATTTAGAAAAACAATTAAATACAAATAGAAGAAAATCAATGAGATTCTCCAAATTCACAAGGGGATTATCTTTTCTTTTTGTATTTATCGTTGAAATTTATTCTTCGTCCTAATTTCTATTCAATGTGAACAGTTACACTCTAAACAAAGAAGGTTTTTTACGAAACGAAAAAAGATTCTTTCCGCGAGTACGGGGAAGAAGCTTTTTTGGTTTCATTGAAAAAAGGTTTCGTCTCAAACATCTTCTGGGCTGCTGCAAGAAAGATTTCGTGAGAGAGATTTCCTACAAAACCTTTTTACCGAATCGAAAATAAGATTTTCGTACGAAGAATTTCGTAGTGATTTTCACATGAATACAATTAGCCTTATCTACTTATCCCTACACCTTTTTTTTTCTATACTTACCTTTACGCCTATACTTAATCGCTTATAACTATATCTAACTGCTTATTCCTATATTTAACCACTTGTAGCTATGTGTAATCTCTTATACTTAAATCTAATCCCTTATTTCTACACTTAAATGCTAATTCCTATACTTAATCTCTTGTTTCTATATCTAACCTCTCAGTTCTTTATCTAAACATTTATTCCTATATTTAATCCTTACAACTATGTGTAACTCCTTATACTTATATCTAATCCTTTATTCCTATGTCTAACCCCTTATTTCTATGCCAACAGCCTTTTTCCTGTACTTAATCTCTTTTCCTATATATAATCTATTATAACTATATATAATCCTTTGTTTGTATACCTAATTTGGTATCTCTATACTTAAACCCTGATAACTACATCTGATCCTTTGTTTCTATGCCTAAGTTCTTATTCTTATATTTAACCCCTCATAAGTATATCCTTTTGACTATGTTCGTACCGCTCTACAGTTAGATCTATACTCTAGGACGTATACCTTCATAACTATGTCCTTAAACCTGTCCAATCCACCTATACCCTTTTACTTGTATTCTTATGTCTATATCGTTATCTGTGTACCGTTACACCTATACTCTTGGAGCAATACCATTATAACTATATCTTGGTGCGCATACGCTCGATATAACTCTCACTCTTCATAACATCAACATGCGAGAGCAGTACCTAATGGTATATTATACGAGAAAGCAAAGTAGGATGAGAAATAGAGATAATAGCAAAAAGTCTCTATATCTAATAGTTTTATAGTAGTAAATCGATTCTAATGACTTCCAATCTTATTGACTCATAACAATTACAGTGTTTAGTAATAGTGAAGAATAAACGAAAATACCATTCTAATCATGTAATATCGAATGATTTTAAAGAATCAGGAACCATTTTCATATGTCGTCTAGGTGAGTTGATTTACATGAAACTCTTTGACATGCAGCTGATATTAATGGTTTTGTACAAAATCTTTCGTGTTCCGGCCACACAGAAAAAGGCTTAGAAGAAATCTTTGATAGAAATCGCTCACGTAGAAGATTTTGTAGAAAATATATAGATCCTTTTTCTTTTCTCAAAGTACAACAATAGTTCGGGAAGAAAAATATGATATCATCGTACATTCTACGAAACTGTGAAAGGTTTCGTAAGGTAACTACGGAATCTTTCACTTTATCAACCACACACAGTAGGTTCCGTACAAAAAATACAATACTTTTTGTATTAGACGAAATTATCGAAGATTCTCTACAAATCATACAGAATCTTTCCTTATTCTACCAAACCATACGGAATTCCGTACAGACGATACGAAACTTCTTTTTGATCGTAGGGAAGCATGATGGCTTCGTATGAAAAGTGCGAAACTCTTTGCTTTTTTTCTGAACTACAAGAGGTTTGGCAAGGCAAGCGCGGAACGATTTTCATTTTACGAAACCTAAAAAAGTTCCGTATCCAAATGCGAAAATTTTAAGGTTCAGTAATAAACCTATTTTTTTAGAGTGTACTCAAGTAACTATTCCAATGATACAATCAATTACTGACAACATCTGATAATTTGATCTGAATTATAGAAAATACCCATCCATCATTGAAGATATGATACGAACCCTTATGTGGCAAACTACAGAGAAATAAGTGAAACAATAGTAAACGCCCGGTGATTGGTCAGGTGCTTTTTTGGGTGGGGCTAGCTATAGCTTTAATATCAATTGATAGAGAAAATTTTTCTCTATCGAACTGTCTTTTAGGATTTTTTAATAAGAGGCATGTAATGATACAACGTCATAAATATATGAGTTTGTAGCGATAGCTTTTCGTGTATTTTGTGTTATTGAGTATGAAGTTTCGAAACTTGCACTCAGGCCTGACAAACGAACACCTTTCTAGCCTTGCTATTCTAGGTCGGCTCGAAAATTGTGAACACCGGCTTAGAAAAAAAAGAGATCAGACATGTGCCCCCTCCAATATATTCACTTGATATTGATTCGATGATGGATTGGGTTGTGGGCACATACCAATATTGAATGATTATTTATTTCATTCCTGCTTTTGTCCTTGCTCAATTTGGTGATTTGCCTATTATTCATCGAGTCATATGGACAAATCTAATTGCTTTCATTCTATAGCAAGCGAGTAAATTGAGCAATAATTATTGTTCGATAAATCAAAGTATTTTTTTCGTCAAATGAAATGAATTTTTTTCGGATATTCTGTTTCCTTGTCTAGATTAGCTCTAATCTTGCGAAACAAGGTGCCACTATTTAACAATAAAATACGTGTTTAATCGATAGATGAAAAGAACGTATAACTTTTCGAATGATTCAATGATAACAAACGAGAAAATTTCAAGTGGAAACCAAGTAAAGAATACTGTAACACGACAACGACAAATCATGCATTTTTATATTCAGTAAATCAATTCGACTTATTTTTAGAAAGATTTCTTGAATAAAAAAAACTACTAGTTCGTGAACTATTCAACAAATACCTATTGCCAGTTTGTAGTGTGAACATTCTTGTGTTCAAAAATAATCGATGGTCTAATATGTTATGTATTTAGATATGCTTCTACAATAATTTTCTATAGAATATTCAATGAGTTTCGATGATGTTTTACGTCGATCGATTGTTAAGACATGAAAAACTGTTTTTCTTATATTCATAAGCATTGAATTGTGCAAATATTCAAAGCCAAAAGCAGATTGAGTTATTGATTAAATTTAGTTTCAATATTTTGTACATAATCAATCTTATTACCTACAATCCTTCGTATATGTGAATATATTTGCATGATAAGGTTGTATTTATGTTAAATATATACAAAACTGCAAATACTGTTGATTTGCTTTTTCGTTTACATGATTTATATTTAAATAATAAAACATTACATACGTAGTTCACTGTCATATAGGTGATTAAGTATGTTTATGATCGATGTTTATCGAATGAAGGTCAAACCACATTTATTCTAACATATGAATTGCTTGTCAATATTTGACAAAAAATCTTTACAATATTATAGCTGTTATTTTAATCTCAAAGCAAAATCTTTGTGTATAATGTTTTCTTGATCAAATACTGTTCTGTTTTGCCTCAAGACATAAAGAGAAATGAAACAGATTGTTGTTGACTATTTCAAACAAAAATCATTTTTGTTGATACGAGATACTTTCTCAAAAGATTTTCGAATCCATATTTATTTGCACATTACAAATTACATTATTGTAACTCTAATAATCCTCTTTTGCCAATCACAAATTAGTGACAGAGTCAGAACAGATCTCTAAGGGAGGAATGGAGAGAGGCTAAGTCCCCGTCGAAAGTTGAAAATGGATATACTCTTTCAATGTTAATGAAAGTTCGTTTCAATTCTAGAAGGAAGACAAGTAAGATCCCTAGATGTGTGACAAGTTCGATGGCAGATAATCAATAACGTTAAATTTTATAATTGTTCTCTCGATGATTTGTTTATAGAAAGAAGCAAATAAATATAATCTAAAGATGTATGCTGTATGACTATAATATTCAGACCAAAGTACGACTCTACAATTCATAGACTCATAAAAACATACAATATAATACACTATATTTATTTCTCTCTCTAGCATCAATTAGAAAAACAAGTACATCAGAATAACGATCGAGAAAAATGATGAAACAAGTGAGAAAGAGAGAGTGAGAGAACAAAGTGAGAAGGATATACAAAACATCAGAACACATAAGAAAATAACAATACCGGTAACAACATACTGTGACCTCACAGGAGGTCTCAAAGATTTCTTAAGAAGTTCGCCCCCCTAGCGCCATTCTCTAGTCACGTCATTATCACAAACTTTGTTTGTATACGTTCTTATTACCTGATAACACATTGATTATTCTGACATCTACTTGTCTAAGGAGTACTAAACCAATCATAAGTTATTGCTTACAATACACATTGAATGCCTACTTTAGTATTGTTTAAAAAGAATAATTTTCTAGTCGAGTATACCTTTACAATATTTTCGTATTTTTTTTATATATTTTTCTAAAGCAAACTATCACGAAAAAAATTAACACAAATTGTATTTTTGATAGATATTTTCATCAATATTCAACCATGAAAAATATAAATTTTTCAGAAAATTGTTTTGTTTATAGGACTTTGTACAACTCGTTTCGTTGATCATTTTGGTAAAAAAGAAGTATTGAAATTTGCCCAATAAATAACGAAGTTTGAATCAAAATACTCAAAATTTTCGTCTATTCGTGATCGCTACTGAGTAGTAGTTGATATTTTTGAGTATTTTGATCCAAACTCCGTTATTTATTCGACAACTTTGAATATTTTTTTTACCAAAATGATCAGCGAAACGAGTTCTACAAAATCCTATAGACGAAACAATTTTCTGAAAAACTTATAATTTTCATGGTTGAATATTAATGAAAATATCTATCAAAAATACGATTTGTGTTAATTTTTTTGTGGTAGAAAAAGCTATAATCTTTCTTTTGCATTATCTGTATTTTAGACATGCCTCGTAGTTTT